GGTTCAGGATACATGACGTTACACCTCACGCTCCTCTGGTCTGTATCTTTGTTGCTAATCTGCATTCCTCCCCTTGTCCACATTTGACAGGAGATGTAGCAAAGCTCTCCATGCCACATGTGTCTAAACATGTCCAACGCACACAGATGGGAACGGAAAGGTTGGACGGGAGGAACGTTCAGACACACATACCTTTTTATCTCACAAACTGACAGATGAACCCTCTCACATACCTGTAACTTTCCTGTGATGTCGTAACTATTGCCAAACCATACTAACCCAGATGAAACAGCTAACGATTCCAAACATACCCCTGGCAGAAAAAATGACATCTCTGAATAGGTGATTTGTCAACCTTAAACTGTTTTTGTGCTACACAGATGTGCTAAAAGCAGGTGCATTTCGCCTAAGTAACAGGATACCTCTTTCTACAGTCCCGTGTTCAGTGAGGTGGGAGTTGGAGGGGTAGAGCGAGCTCTCTGAGGATGCTACCCGCCACCTGAATCCTCTCGGTCAAGCGAAATGGAAGTATCATACGTCATGTCGGCGAATGAAAATTCAGAACAGCCTGTCTTATGCAGACACTAATAAGTATCTCAGAAAACTCTCTTATGGTCTTCTAAACCAAGACGCTTGGCCAACTCCACAGAGGCAGGCTCAGTCCCAGCCTTTACCACAGGCTTCCCTGGTTACCGTGAACAACCTGCGCAGGGCCTGACTGCCCAGGGCAGCTCTAGGGTGCTGCAGAGATGCAGAACAGGGAGAAAAGCTCTTATTTCCTTCCATTGCCTGACCAGGTCCTGTATTAGTTTTTAGATTCATGACAACGAACTTGCTTTTCGCCAACTAAATCTCTCTATTTCCATTGCAGGTACTGGAGGTGTACTCATCTTCACTAGTTGGGGTCTTTTCCATCTAATCTTCCCCTTACCTCCCTCACAACAAGTTTGGAGGAATCCAGAACACCACATACCACTTAAACTACAGTATATGGAGAGCAGAGGAATGAACCAAAGTGCTTATAATTAAGCTCTGTTTTGCTCTGATACATCCAGAATCCTAGGGGAAACCAATGGCAAGGTCTTATGCCTGGCAAAGCTCTTGATCCACCTCAGGCAACCACTCTCTCCACATTATAACTGGTGCAGAACTGCAGGTTTGTAAACAACTGCTTTTTATTAATACACATTTATACCGAAATGTCATCTTGTCCTTTTAAAATCTAAGATTGCCTAGGAAACAAGAAGAAAACCAACCAGGTGGAGAGCTCCTACAGTGTCAATGTCTTTCTATTCATTTGCCATTGACTTTTATTAAGATGTCTTTGCAGTTTATGGAAGTCTCTTTTCTGGGAGGTAGCTGGCTTTCAGGGACCTTACTTACATCTACGCTGATAAGTGTGTTGGACTGAAAATGGGCTCCAGCTTCTCTTTCTACATGACATTACTACATGGAGTCCTCCAGGTGTCAGCATGTTTGTGCTTGTTCACTCAGTCTGGCTGAGCACAGCGTGAATGAGTTTTGCCTTTATCTCAACCATCTGCAGTTCAGAGGCGTGTGTTACAATGGGGCTCGGCTGCCATCTGCTGCTTAAAGGATTTGCAAGTGCTTGAAATACAAGTAGGCATGTTTGAAACACAAGTAGGCATGCGCGTGTACGTCCACATTTAATGGAAAGCTCCTTGCCTATTCCTTAAAGCAAAGCACCATCTCCCTGGAGGGGAGACACTATCAGAGAAGTTTACAGAAGCCTGGAAGAGGTGTGCATTTTGGCCTTAAATCCTTACTGAAAATGCAGCAAGCTTCAGTTTGGTATAGTTACACATAGATCTGACAGGCCATTCTCTATTTCAACAGAAAACTAACACCTAACAAAACCCCACATCTTCAAAATGGAGTTTGAGGTGAAAGAGGAAGAAGTTGCTCTGCTTAGGGTTAGATGTTACCATGATTAATCTGTTATCTCCATCCAGTTAAGATCTGCAGTCCTCAGAGCAAACACCATTAAGTATTGCTATACAACTTGTACAGTAGAACAAAAATCAAGGTATACTCTATCCTACTTTTTTTTAGGCGGGAAGCTCTGACTCCTAAAGAAAATCATAAATTTGAAGCATTTAAAGTATAATGGTAATCTATACGACTTACTATTTTATCAGGTAAGTAAAAGGCTGTGTATTCCAACCTATCCTTCTAGAGAAACAGTTAATAAAAATACAATTAACAGATATTTTAACAAAATATTAACAGAATTTAACAGATATATTAACAGAACGATTTTAAATTATTTTTTAAGGAGAAACAGATTTTAAAAAATTACCTGAGAAGGGTTGAGTAGAGTCTGTTTTGACATTTTTTAATCTGCTCTGGATCACTGTTGCAGGCTTTACAATAAAACTGTGCCCTAGAAAGCAAAAGTGAATTAGGCAGAACTGAATTGTGTTTAACTGGTGAGAGAATAAACGCACTCGTCTGCTCTTGAAAGTTTTTCTGTTCCAGACCTTTTTTCAACAAATCAGTAATAGGGAATCTTACCTTTTGACTTCTGCCAGGGAATGAGCAATAAAAAAGTCCACAGTATTCCGATGAAGCTTTATCTGCGCAGATGGATTGAGAAACAGTCAAAAGAGTAATCACAGTTTGTCTATCTGGTGACATTTTTCACCTCTGTTGTGAGAATTCAGACTATATGATCACAATAGTTTCCTGTCCCCTCCCAATCTTGCATTAATCCTGTTTGTTATAGCTTCTGTGACTTATGAGAGACACATGAGACATGAAAAAGTTAACATGCTTATTCAATGACACAGAGGGAATTTACTGTCCACAGAAACACCGGGGAGCAATGCAAGAAGAAGGACTGAAAACATACAAAGTAGCTCTTGTTAGGATTTCTCCAGTTTAATAAACTGAGGCTCCGAAGGATTTGGTGGCTTTTTTTTTTATTTAATTAATTTGCTAAATTGCAAACTTCACAGGAAACAGGTCCAGCTCCATCCAAGTTCCTGTTGCTTTCAACCCACTTTTAATGTATAGTGGTAGTGTGAATGGCACAGGGAAGACGACAAGGTTGTTAACGTTTTCCTTCCACACAAGAGAAGGCCTGTACTCAGCTCCTTCAGATGCATGGCTCAGAGGACAAACAAAATATGAGTGACTATAATTATTACTACAGATATTGCAGCAACATCTAGATGTCCTGCTTTTAGAAGAGGTATCTCTTCTGTGCCAACTGTTGTGTAAAGAAAGCAAAGATACAGTCTGTGTCTCAAAGAGCATGCAGCTTCCTTTTCCCTCTTGCTTTCCCTTTTCATCATTCTATTTTCAGCCAGACAATGTATGAACTCAAGGAAGAACAGATTGAGTTATGGCCCATTTTCTATTAGTGCTAAGCAACTACATTTACTAACTTCTTTCAGTGTAGAGTTCATTCAACACTTCTGGAAGACAACCCCAACGTGTTTCTCACAGCAGTGTTTCCCTACAAACCTCTGTTTTCAGAGTTTCTATTGTACAGTTTCGTCAAAACAGCTATTTCCTTTATAAAAGTGGAGAAATAATTGCACTCAATAGTCTGCATTTTCTGGGCGATTTCTCAAGCTTTTTAAAAATCTATGGCACTTATTTATTACTCTTTCTGAACTAGTTCCAGCTTCCCCATTAGGATGTCTTGTATTTCACCATTAGAACAGAGAGCGTTATCTGGACCAGGACCAGATCAGCTTCAGAGAGCAAAAACTCTGCTGCCAGCATTGACAAATTATCCCTTTATGACAACACTTTATAGCATTTGGGAGCCTCTGTAAACTCATGTGGCTAAAAAAAAGAAAAAAAAATATGAGGAGGCCTTTCCTTTACCAATTAAAATAAACATTCTTGAGTCGCCCCAAATCAAAGCGAGACTTACGCTGTTTGCATGTGGAATAGAAGGTAAGAATGGTGTTTCACCTCCCATCTCTTGCCTGATTATCTGTCAGAAAAGAGGCGGCAGAAGAGATTGCTGTATACAGTAAAATTCATCCCAGCACTTAAGTAACCAGTGCGTGATCCTGGATAAATACTGTGCATAGGAAGATAAGGTGTATAAAACCTGTGCAGACCCTGGGGCATGTTTCTTCTGAGTTCTTTGGAAGTTGTTAGTTTGGAATTAGTTGACTTCTTACTAGAAGAGAAGTCTCCTAGACAATTACCTCTACCCTTGACTGCCAAATTTGAGTTCAGTTCCCAAGAGGAAAAGGTTCAGTTTCACAAAGCACAACCTGGGGAAAGAAAGCAAGTCACAGTCAGTCACAGTATCTCTGTACTGTGAAAAGATACATCTGGAAGGAAATAACAGAAAAGCAACCACATCTGTACCACATACCGACATTACTTTGTAGTCTTTGTCTTCCAGAAGCATTTTGTCCTTCAAATATTTTCTCTTTGTCTAAAAGAATCAACCATAGAGATAATGTATTTATTGAAATGCAAAGCAAGTAAGATATGTAATCTAACACTGGGCCGATACTCTTAACACCACATTGTTTTAGATCAAAGGCCTTTTAGTTACTGGAAGCAGAATGACATCAGCTATATGTTGTCAGAAACAGTATCCGAGTTAATAAACAACACACCAGGGAAAGTCTCAACCCTTCTAGACACTTCCAATTCATACTATCATTGAAGAACAAGTGTTATTACTGTATACAGATAAAGTCACAGGGAAATTTCATGACTGCTAAGTACTGAGAACTCATTATTTGAGGAAAGTTACACCTTATTTTGCAATAAGATTAACCTGCCTCCTTAGTTATTTAAATGAGAACTGGTCCTGTGTTAAGTTTTACCAATCATAAATAGAGTTTAGAGGTGTGATTTATTGCTGGACTGTGACCCTCTACTCACTCCAGTATAAGCACTTTTTTTTCCTTTGGTAGTTGTGTGGCTAGGGAAGGGTTGTTTATACCTAGCTAGTTAAAGCAGCAAAACTGCTTACAGCTCCTTCAGGTTTTAGACTGCCACTCATTGTGCCACAGTATATGCTATTCTCTTGGCATATGAATGCCTTCCACATAAAACTTAATAGGCTACTGAAAACGTGTAAAAAAGTGTTGTTTTCAAAATAAAAAAATATTGAATGGTTTTTGACATAAGAGGTTTTTTTCAATTTAAGAAGTTCTGAGTTTTCATAGCACGATTAAAAAAAACAAACTTAAAACCAGTTTTGCTAGCTTTGCCATTGTGAAATATTTGGACTTGAATGAAACAGTGTGTGTTGACAAAAACCCACTAACAAGCAGCCCAATGCTACATACAACTTCCGCATTTATAAACTCTGTATTTATTTCACCCAATATCTATTTAGGTTCTTTAAATTAATTTTGTGAAAAGTCCCTGAAGAGAGAAATAGCAGTCAAATTCTTTTGTGCAGGAGATTAATGTGAAGTATCACATATAGCCACTAGGTGATAGCAAAAGCATGTCCCCTGCAGGTCTAGCAGACCTCAGACTTGTTCAGGCAACTTCACGCCTAATAGTTCTGTCTATTTATATTTTTATTAAACCTTCTGGTATTGATTTGTAAATACCTGAGCAACTTGTGTAAAGAGAATATGTAGCTTATCGGTTTTGTGTTGTAGCAGGTACTGATGAGGAATGACAAATAAAAGGACAAATTTGGACCACCTTCCTTGCAGAGAGATGACAGAATTTAATTGTCACTGTTCTTGTGTAAATTACTCCATAAGACCCAACCAAATAAATAAATAAGCCTAAAAGGATATTGAAGAAAAGCATCCTATTAACTGGAAAGAGTACATTGGACTGATTTTTCTGGGTGTCAAGCAGGAGCAGTTCTGCTAAAGTTCTTTAAGCACAGATTGAAATTATGAGTGCCAGAGAATGGAATCAAGCAAAGACGCAGAGAAGCTAACAGGGTCCATACTGTGCAGTAACCAAACTTGATTTACTGTGTCCTCTCAGAGGCAGTGGAGCACCAGCATCACATTATTGCTCTTCAACCTACAGCGACAGAAGAGGCGTTTCCAAGTATGAGCTAAATGCAGCAGCATGGCTTGCTACGGGACATCCTTTGCTTGGGTACCTCCTTGCACACTATTGTAAAATACATTCTTATGTTCTTTTGCTTCAGCATGCTCTAGAGTACTCTTTTCATCTCTTGCACTGAATTCAAGTATTACATTAGAAATAGTCTGTTAGGTATTTTTGCTTTCTGTGCCAAGCTTAATCCCAGCATGGTCAAGATAAGCTTCAAAGGACCTGGCTGCAGTTTCTATTCAGAAGTCAGGCGCATATTTCGGAGATCATCCCACTGGGCTGTATTCACATTATTTAGACAAGTGGAGGATGTACCTCAGTATCTTCTTTTGCCATGAACAAATTAGTTAGGAGAGCAGACAAACCAGGAACAAGGCAGCTTTGTGCTACGAAGCCCAGCTTCAGTTCAGCACAACAGATGACACCGTCTCCTGTCCTCCAGTCCCAGCTGGGGATGTTTGGCAGGTACCTGGTTTCAGCATAGGAAAGTGATTACAGATCAGCAAAGAGACAGCCAAGGCCACAACGTTCCTGTAAAATGACGATTCTTGTCTTTCTTGCCTTCGCCATTTTAATTTTTTTTTCCAATCTGTGCTGGAATATGCTAACAGACAGCTAAGTGGACTTCTGAGGTTCTTTGGGTGGGTTTGGCTTTTTAGGTTGTGGGGTTTTTTAAACATTAAATGTGCATTTGCTGACAACCTTAACAAAAACAATACAAAAAGTTATTCTTCATTTTTAGTAATATTAAAAGATATTCTAGATAGGTTAGTAACTGGATGACAGACACTGCATAAATATTCTGTTTTTATAAAAGGCAGAGATTTTTGATTCCATAAAGGCCAGAATTTCAACTGTGACAACCCGCATGACAGACAATTGTTATACCTTGTTACGAGGCTGAACTACCTGTAAAATTATTCTCGTGTTCAGATAGAGATTCTTGATGGACAGCACTCGGTACAAAAGGTATAATTTCTGATTCATCTGCTCAGTCTGCCTAAGGTATCTCCATTTTTTAAGTGAGACCATAGTTTACTCCAGCAGACAGCAACTGAAGAGTAGTAACAAAGAACGGTGTATGACCCAAAGCCCTGGGATCTTTACACTTCAAGCATATTCAAGTCCACTATCTGGAGAAGAAGGTAGTCACCATCAAAAGATTTGAAGATAATGGCACGTGGCTTGGACACAGGGTGAGGAACATACCTGTATCCCGCTAAAAGTCTAGAGCTAAGAGAAGCAACAATAATGAATACTATTACCTTCACCAATTCCATTTGTAAATTTCATTCATAAACTAATATCTCCACTTCGGTAGATGCCCTACAAATAGAAAATAAAGATAATCCAATCTGGAACTTGGACTTCTGGACTGTTTTGAGGGTATGCTAATCATGCCATCAGATTCACACAATCCAGCAGTACTAAAAGTTCCCAATTCAAGTCTGCCCAGTACAAAGATGTGTAGAATGATTAGACCTGACAGCAGAGCTGCACCAGACAGTAGGGCGCAACTCTCTCCAGTGTAAAGGAGCCACACTGCTCAACTGCTAATATTCAGTCTATGGAAGAAGGTAATTACACCATATTTAGTAACATTATATTCTGTATGGGGTTGCAAGGCTGCACAGCTGCTACCTGTCTCAATCCTTCAACACATCTGATAAAATCATAGCAGAAAGCAGTCAGTTGGCTTTCAGAGTTCTCCAGGCAGAAAAAAATGTGACAGGACAAATATGTTCCCCTGCCAGCAGCACTATCTGTGTCACTGTTAATATCAATCAGACAGAGAATGAAAGCACTGGAGTATCTCATCCTACACTCTGATATTGGAAGTATCTTCAGTATAAGGTTGTGGAGAGTGAACATCTGCTAGAATGAGACAAGCATTCACAGATTCCATCTGTATCCCAGGAGAGAAAAGTTAAATCAGGGTTTTACCACATACGAAGTACAACAATCTCCGATAGCGACCTGATTTAGTGGCACGTGTCTTTAGTTAAAACCCTGTGTAAGATCATCATGATCCTATTACTTGGAGTTGTACACATGCCTGAACATTTCAATAATGACGCAGATCCAGTCAAACATGCAGAATGTAATGCATATTTCTATTTTCAAAGTGCTGGAACATGTGAAATTTTTAAGTTTTAGTGCTAACCTCTTCCTAGAAGAGGCTACAAAATAGGCAGCTTTGCTATATTCTTGCCCAGCAAAGTCCAGCCTAAGCACTTCAAGGGTCAGTATTTGGGCAGGTCAGACCTCCGTCTCGGTCATCTAATCAATACTAGGGCTGCGTAGTGAAGTCATTAACAAGGTTTTATAGTCTGCTGGGAACTGGGTGAGATCTACCACTGTGTTCCAAATAGGATACTAACAAATAGAAACCACACTAAAGTTAAAGCCAGTAGTGGTTTTTGTTTGTTTTCTTTAATCCAGGTCCTTTCCTCTGCTTCTATTGGAATATTTTACTGAGTATCAGTATTTCAAAACATGAGGCTTCTTTTCTGGACATCCATGAATGAGACAAAAATATGACGCATGCTCTAAGGATGAGCTAACTAAGGGCTATTCCAATTACATAAATACAATTCTGAGAAATGCTGTGCTCCATAGTATCCCTCTTTCAAAACAGATGATCACAGTTTAGCTCCCCCCCTCCCCCTCCCTTTTTTTTTTTCCTGTTTCAGCACTTAAAATTTATAGCCTGAGAAGTCTGTTATGTCTAACTCTTGCATTCTCAGTTCCCATGTGTGGTATGTTGGTATGCAAAAGGTACCACTAAAATAAGCAGAGCTGCTTGAAATGTAAATCTCAACATGAATTGAGTAAATGCAGCTCAAGCATCCTTTCATAAGGGACAAGATTTTCACGAGGTTGGCTTATCTATAAGAAAGGGCAAATGATTAAGTTCTTACCCCAACACTCTTCAGGTCTTCAGAGTTTAGTGCAGAGCCATAAAAGAAAATAATGTAGGCTGAATAGCATTTGAACACAGCTTCAAGCTCCAGACTAGGAACAGACCTATTCAATACAAACAACAACGGAGGGGGGGGGGAAATCCATCAATCTCTCATAATTACATTCTCTGGAAGTCTCCATTTCTCAGAGAAGCTATTTGCCATAACTACTTACTGTTTAAAAAAAGCTACAGGGATTTTGGCAGCTCAGTTAAAGTACATAGTTTAGATTTTAATGAAAACAAGCTTTTATAAAACTTAACAGTCATGGAAATGTTCCCTGGATTTTTCCTGTCTTCTGCTATTGTCATTAATTTTTCATGAGTATCATTCCACAGCCATCCATGCAGCTCTAATTTTACAGCTCACTGTTACTCCACAAGAGTCAGGAAATGGCACTTCCTAGGGCTTGATTCTGCATTCTCTTTTCAAATGAAACTGCTGAACTTCAACTTTCTCTCCAACTCAAGTGTTATTTTCCTATTCAATTTATGCATACTGTATCTCATCCAGTGAGTTCTGTAACATTTTCTTCTCCGTGAGCTGTACAATACATTATCAAGATATTCCTACATCGATCCCAGTAATGAACCATGCCTTGTAGGAAGGTATCCAATTTTGATTAAAAGACAGGAGTTGGAAAATCCACCCATTTCTGAGCAGTTTGTTTCAGTGATTATGAACCACTTCTCACTTTTGAAAATGCATGCCTTGCTTCTTTCTTGAGTTTGTCTGACTTTGAACTCTAGTTATTAGCTTTTGTTATGCCTATCTTTTCCAGATTAAAGACGACTTTTATACTGGTTGTGAAGGTACTCAGGCACCTTTATTGAGCCAAACTCCCTATCCTCTTCCTGTTACACTAAACAGACTGAACTCTACACCTCTTCCTCTAAAGCACTTTTTCCTGTCTTTGAACCATTCCGGTACCTCATTTCCATGCACCCTCAATTCAACTGCTCTCTCAAAATGTCATGGTATTTCAGAATAGATGCCTATAATATTCTGTTCACCTCTTGCCCCACCTCCACTGCATTCCAAGGTAAAATCACTTTTGTGCTCCTGGCAATCAACCCCAGTGAAGCTTCTGCTTTCAGAAATGTGTCTAACAGCCTCAGCTAGGCAGAAGAAGGGGATCTGACAGGACAGCTGAAATGCCTGATCTTTTTGGCACGGAAAAGTGGCTTCACTTTCCTCCCTTTGCCATATGCCAGCATGACCAAGCAAAAGTTACAAATTTTCTCCCCAGGATGAAAAAAAAAATACAAGAAATTGAGACAGCTGACAATTATTTGATTGCCAGACTCGGCAAGATTTGAAGTCGGGTATATCTGGCAAGGCTAGTTTACTATGCAATTTACAGGGTAACTTTTTTTTTTTTAATCGATCACAACAGAAAACATTTTATCATGAACATTCCAGCATGAAAGCTTCATTGCTACAATTTGGTTTGTAACTCCTATTAATTAGTTACACAGCATTGCTTTCCTTTACTTTCAGATCTCCTATATTTCCCCTAAGCATTCAGGGAATCAGAGGGAAATATCTCAGAGAAATAAGGATACTTACTCTCCCAGAAAAAGGATTTCTGATTTCTGTGCAAACATTTCCCTTGTCCTGAAGCAAAATTCTCGTAGGAATGTAGTGACACTCTCTGGAGTGGTATTACCACAGACAGCAATATAGCTACAGGAACAGATCAAGCAAGATTTGTCACTTTGAAAACAGCAGAATGGTTGTTGCAAAGCTGACGCTGTATGAAACTACACACCTGCTTGTGGCATAGTAATACCAGTAATGCGGAAGACAGTTTGTGGTTTTGATTTCATGAAAATTTCATCCATCATGACTATGTACTTCGGGAGTTATTCTGGAAAGGAAGAGGAGCTGTAAGTGCCAGAAGCAGCGAATGGCAGACATTCCAAAAACCGAGTCATAGAAAGAACTTTATAATACCTAGTTAAATCCCAAAACAACAAAACCAAACCTACACTGAAAAAAACCCACACCACCACGAAAATAGGCCTCCAATCTTTAAGTTAGGCTACCATGTCAGCTAGCTTCTCTTCCTGTGAAAATAAAGCCCATACTGAATAGTGCTGTTGACAAGGTTTATTCAGACAGTCTTGAGGTAAGGATCAACCAAAAGTAAGTTTCAGGATTTCATTTAAGTCACTACAGGAAGCTTTATTTAGCTTCTTATTTCTTCTGTGCTGGTTCCCAGCCTAGTCGCTGACCCGATTTTTATTTCCCAAAGACAAACAGCAACAATACTTACTTTTTCCCACTCATTACTTCATAGGAGGATTTGTAATTTTTAGGGCTTTCAACAATTTTCATGACTTCAGGGATAAGTTTACAAATAGTACATAAGATAACAAGAAAAATCATCTTTCTCAGAGACAATTCTATCTCTCCTAAGCATGATAAATTAATTTGTGAGAGCTTAAATTATGTGGAACAATGAGAAATTTACTTTGGATTTGTAAAACCACTGTACGTACAACTGTATGATGTAGTGATAATGGATTTATGCTGCTGACACCTTGGATTAATTTTGTCCAGTGTTTTGGCTCCTGCCAGTATTTGCAGCCACAGGAAGAAATACTAGAAGCCCTGCCAGCTCTTAGAAAGGAAAATTACTCTACAGCCGTGTCAGTAAATACTTAATGTCAAAACTCCCTTTGCTCATAGATGTCTAATCCCTCCTGCCACCCTGCTAAGATAAGCAAAATAAGACTGGTCAGATGAGTCAGACCAGAGATGCACTTCGCCTGGTATTTTGTCTCTGTAATTGTCCAGTTGTCAGTGGTGAAGTACAGTGTGACCTTTCCACTGCGGTCTTCATTTCACTGGATTACCCTTTTTTTTTTCCTAATTTAATAAATTTTTGAATCAGAAGAATTTTAACAAGCTGAGTCAGAGTTTCTAATGATATGAAAATAACCAAGATGGGTTAACTGCGCTCTCATGCCCACAGGTGGCAGCATTTCCTTGGAGTTAGACTACCTTTGCATACAAGTATGTAAAACTAATCTGCTTCCTAGCATCATTGCAGCCTTGGACAAAGAGAAAACCAAAGCAGAACAGCACTACAAGGCACGTACCTAGAAACTGCTCAGCAAAAGCAACAGTTCATCTTGTACCATACAGGCCTAGCTGTCCCATCCACAGCTGGTGGGGTAGCAATGCAATCAGATGCCACCAGTTCACGCAGTATTTTTCCCCCCTTTCTATTGAAACCGAACGTCATCAAAAGCTTTAGGTCTAGTCAAGAGTTTTGAAGTCTTTTATGAGCACTGCAGATGAATAATGCAATCAGACTCTTCTTCATGCAATCAGGACAGCTGAGTATGGAAGTAGTGATTTTGCCTGAATTGCGAAAAACATGTGCCCAGGAAAAAAAAGAAAAAAGAAAAAACAGAAAGAGAATGGTGAAATAATAGCCCAGCAAACAGTTGGCAGGGAGGCAAAGAATGTGGTATTGTAGCCTTTAAATACAGCAATATTTAGTGTCTGCCCTCCCCTTTCCTCCCTTGCTGAACATCAGAGAGGACCACAAGCAACTGGAACCAGTGGGGTGTTTGAATGGTGAGGGTGGTCCCAGGGACAGCCTATCAGCTGACAAGAGTCACTACTTGTGTTTTCACAGGGACCAATATAACAAAATTGCAATCAGCTCATCTAAGGCTCCAGGATGCCTGAGCCAAGGACAGAAAGACTTTCAAATAAGTTCCCAAAGGGAGAAGGGGTGAGAGGGTGAGGTGGAGAAAAGGGTCACTCTCCCCGTGAGCCAAGGACACCAGTAATACCTCCCTCACTCTGCAGATGCCCCACTTCTGTAGGGAAGCATTTACCTGGAGGAGTATAATCTGGGGACAGGAATCAATTCACCAGATGACAAAGGGATGTGCCACCAGCCAGTGCAACTTGTGCTCCGCATCTAGTGCTTCCTAAATACATTTCTTCCACCTCATCCCTACTCTGTCTTTGATCTTCTGTGGTGCAAGCTCTTCTCTGAATGTTTCCTCTCCGCTGCCGTAGGAAGGCTGTGACTGAAGATGGCAGCCTTTGTCCGCCTATTGTTGCTGAGCCAGGACGGGAAGCGAATCAGCTCACTGTTACTCCCAGTCGATTTCTCAGTCCAACTGTCCCCAGAGCAGAAACAGGTCATTCACAAATCACAGCCACTCAGCAGGAGTACAGAGCTGCAAAAAGAAAGTGATTTATTAGCATGCAGTAGCACACTACCCTGCCTTTGCTGTGACAGATACATAAGCCAGGAAAGAGAGCATGCAACGGAGTGCAGACTTTTGTTTTCTTTAATTTGATTAAATTGTAGTTCAGGCTGCACTGATGCACACATTTGGAATTAAATACAGAGTAGAAATCCACCAAGATGCATAATGTACTGCTCAATTCTGGTGCAAAAATAGCATTATAGATATTAAGAGTGTTTTATGAATGGGAGGGTATCCACATCTATCTCCTGATGGGAAGTAGCTCAGTGCTATCAATATTTACAGGCAGGAAAACTGAATGAGAAAAGTTAGGGACCCAGAGGAATTCAGCACAATACCAAGAAGCTGATTTCTGGGACAGAAATCTGTGTTTTAAGCTGCTTCCTTTCTGCAGCCACACGGTAGCATGATGCTCAGCTGCTGTCTCCAAGAGGAACATTCAGTGCCCACTGTGACACATCATTTAGCTTAGTCTCTAATCAGTAGCATAAAATAATGCTTTTCAGAGAGCATTATGGATCTCCTAAATTAGGCTCGTGTTCTGGATTTCCCTAATTTGTTACTCTGATGATAAATTCCTCCAATGGCTGATGGCAATTCCTCCAACTCTTGTGCTAGATCCAGCTTCCAATGAAAGCTGAATCCTGACCTTCCAGCCAAATTTCACTGTATATTCTTCTGCGGGCTAGTGGAGCTATCTGTTATAAGAAGTCATCTTCCCTATATTTGTGCTTGCACGTTGTGATGGAGTCTCCTCTTTATTTCCTCTTTGATAGCCTAAATGGATCAAGGTCCTTACATCTTTCACTAGAAAGATGTTTCCCAGGCTCTGAATCATTTATATGGCTCTTTTATGAACCTTTCCAATTTTTCAACACCCTCTTTGATCTGCAGACACCAGACCCGAATTGCTATCCCAGTGAAGAACTGGTTAATGGGTGTGGATGAAGTGGTAAGCTTATTACATTAGACCTGTGAAAGGAAAGATTTGATTTTAAAAATGCACCAGTTTGACTGAGAGGAAAGAAGGATAACAGGCATTGAACAGGGGAGACATTTCCTGAAAGGATTAAACTTCTGTCTGGGTAATGAGAACATCCACAGTCACATTAGACCGGATTAAAGAGAAAGATAAATTCTGCTGCTTCAGAGTATAAACCAATAGCTGGTGGGGACTACAAATAAATGTCTCCTTGGGGTAGATTCTTCTGTAATTGTTCACTGTGGAGAGAGCTTACATCTCCCACTGAAGCAGCTGGCCACCAGCAGACCCAGCGCACTGGGATAAATGGATCTAGAGGAAATTGCCCATCTTTCTATTATGTAGAGACACACACACACACACACAGATTGAAGAGAAAGGGTTTGCATTTAAAGATTCAGTCCTTATGTCATCTCTCTCTGCTTCCAAGCCTATCTAGGTAAGAAGGCTAAGAAATGCAACTGAGAAACATGTATTACAGCCTGCATTCTCCCAGCCTCCTTCCCACTGCAATATCCATTTGGGATGGAAGTGAAAATATGTGCATGAATGCAACAGTCCTCTTATCCCTGCTTGGTAAATAGTTCCCACTTTTACTGTGCTCTGAACCTTCCAGGTGCAAAATAAAACAGATTGGTCTGGAATTTGGAAGCAAATGAGCCAGAATGCTTGCTCCAGGCTTCCAATTTAATAAACATGCATCTATATCTAATGGGCAGTCTGTCACTTCCCTTTAATAGAAATCACCTGCTCCTCTAATAATCATTAAACAAATTGACAGCACAATAGTCAAAGCCTCTCATCTTAATGCCACCTGCAGCAAGAGTAAAATAATCCACTAATATCTTTTCAGAAAGGCCATTATTCTGCCTAATATGAATGCACATACACACAACTCCATGTGACATAGAATCAAACATGCCCACGAAGAGAATAAATTGCATAAAAATTCTCTTTATTTTTATAATGCATGTATTTTATTAGTAAGATCATTTCTTATTTTGTCATGATGAGGATAATAATCTCTCATGCCTCCTGCAGTGCTCTCCTCTGCTAGAGCCAGACCCTGCGCAGCTTTATGGGCACCATCAGGCTGGATGGCCAGACATGCCTGCACCTACATCTGAATAGCAGCTGCTTTCTTAACTTACATCCTTCAGGCCAGGGTTTGCTAACACTACTGAGACCTAGAAAGTTTTTTTAAGTCCCCTTGTGAAAGGGATTAGAATCGCTCTCCTACAAAACCTTGTCAAGTTGTGGCGGGATCCGCTAAGGTACTGGACTTCTGACACTTAACTGTCGAGCTCTCCTAAGGCCCAAGATGGTAACTGTGCATGTAAGCAAGAAAAATACTTGAGGGTTAGATGGAACCTGTCAACAGATAATTCAGCCTGCCTGAATAACCCAGGGGCTGTGCGCAGCCTTCCTCAGTCTTCAGAAACAGTTAAGCATTCAAGGAGTACCACAGTCCTGCGTGGACTTTGCCATTTGTCAGTCTCTAAAGGATGGTCTTTCTAAGCTCAGCCAGTACATGCAAGGTTTCTGAAGAAGCCCGACATACCTCATGGATAAAATTCTACATTAGTACATGTAAGGTCACTTGAGCCTTACCAAACTTCAAATAATAGGACCGCCACCTTTATCTGTTGAAATCACATTCCAGATCCACAGAGTGGTTACAGTCGCACCTTAGGGTCACAGTGAGGGGAAGAAAAAAATAAAATAAAATAAAATAATCAGGAAATGAACTCCAGTTATGACAGAATTCAGACCCATTGGTGATGGAGCAAGCACGGGGGGACAAGAGCTTGCTCCTGAACTTCTTCCTCCCCTTGACCTCTGCATTTTGTCAGCATTCTCAGATGCCTCTCTCAAGCATCTGTTTGTCTCTTTGGCCTGGCTCTTGTTCTCTCACACACTGATTCTAAATACAGCCCATCACTCTCAAAGTTCTGCTTGCTATCGGCCTTCAAAAGCTTTCTCACCCACAGCATTCATTACTGAGGGATACTTGAAGTTAATGAAGAATTCTCTTAACAACCTTATGCAACCAGTTTGATTGTCTCAATCACGCTGATTTGAAAGTCATACCGTACCTTATGAGGCCTCTCATGTCTGATGAGAGTACAAAAAAACTCATACACTGGGAGAAAAGACCATGTGCCAAA